CTGCCTTTTCCATGTAAGTCCCTTGTCTAATTCTAGACCAAGGTACTTGACATCGCTGGATAGCTGGATCGTCTTATTGAAGAGAGTCGGTTCCTTAAGACCCTTTATATTTCTCTTCCTAGTAAACGGTATAATTACTGTCTTATTGGGATTGATGGAAAGACCTGTTCTTTCACACCATCGTTGGACCATGTACAGAGCTGTTTGAAGACGCTCTGATACGGTCGAAAGGAATTTTCCATTTATGAGGATTGCTATGTCATCAGCATATCCTACTGTATAATACCCATCATCATTAAGTCCCCACAGGAGATTGTCGACGACCAGGCTCCACAGCAGAGGCGAAAGTACGCCCCCCTGCGGACATCCCCTAGACGCGGACACCCCCAGGGTTTCTCCCGATAATGTAGCAGCTATGGTTCTGCTTTCCAGCATAGCATTGATCCATCTGCATATTGCAGGCTCTATGCCATGCCTTCCAGCAGCCTGTTTGATTACATCAAATGAGGTCCTATCAAAGGCTCCCTCTATATCAAGGAATGCTCCTAAGGCAATATCCTTGTGTTCAGTTGCACTTTGTATGTGTGTTACCACATTGTGTAGTGCACTTTCGGTAGATTTACCTGTTTGGTAGGCATGTTGTTTTGGTGTAGAGGACGTGTCCTCAGTACCCCGTCCTTAACATGCCTATCCACTAGTTTCTCCGTTGTTTTCAAAAGGAAGGACGACAGGCTGATAGGGCCATAAGCCTTAGCCTCGGTATAATCAAGTTTCACGGGCTTTGGAATAAACGTCACCTTAACCTGCCTCCAGGCTGTGGGGATAAAACCATATGCCAAGCAGGCTCTATATATGCGACATAGGTGTGGAACTAAAAGTTCTGCCCCATGTTGCAAAAGTGCCGGTACAATTCCATCCGTTCCCGCTGATTTAAATGGTCTGAAAGTGTTCAGTGGCCATCGTATTTTTTGATTGATTAATTATGACTTTGGCCAGATCCCAGTCTACCCTGTCCATCTTGCTTTGGCAAGTGTCCAGGTTCCGCTGACCCTGTCCATTGTCCAATTTGTCAATCAATTTTGAATCAGGAAAGTGAACTCTGAATAATTCATTCAGCGTCTCCCTTCCTGTTTGAGTATACTGTCTGTTAGGCAGCTTAATTGTGCTGACCTTATTGGTCACTTGTTTTGCCATGATTCTCATGAGTCTGGCACTGCCTGGTACATCATTGATCTCCTGGCAGTACCCCCTCCATGAGGAGTGTTTGGCTTTCCTTATTTCTTTCTTGTAACAGGTCAGGGCTTCCTTATAGGTGTCCCACTGCCCTGTTCTTTTAGCTGTATTAAACAGCCTTCTTGTTTTGATCCTAAGCCCACTCAGCTGTTTATTCCACCAAGGTGTTCTCCTTGGTCCGCGAGTGGTCCTAGCCAGACAATTCTGATTAACGGACGAGATAATAGTCCATTGCAACTGGTCAACGGACCGATCAACATCCTTTATTGTGCGTATCTTACACGAGATGGCCTCCAGATTTACCTTTAGGTCGTCTTTGTAAGACTCCCAATTGGTTCTCTTAGGATTCCCATAAGTAGTTTGATCTACTGTGATGTTACTTATTTTAAAGCATATATATCTGTGATCCGATAGAGACTGCTCATCAGATACATGCCAATTGCCAGGTTTTCTATGTTATTAGTCCCTAGTGTCAAATCAATAACCTCCTTCCTATTGCAAACCACAAAGGTAGGTTCGTTACCATGTTTTCACCAGAAATTCCATAAGGCTCTCTCCCACTGGGTTAGTGCCGGTGCTCCCCCACAAAATGTGGTGCGTGTTGGCATTACACCCAATGATGAGTTGCTTTTTCCTGCTAAAGCAGTAGTCTGTGATGTCCCTCATTTTCTTAGTTGGTGGAGGTTCATCCGAGCCTTATGGAAGGTAGACTGAAGCAATTATAAGCTCCTTGCTGCCTTCTCAATATGGATATGTTATCCTTATCGCTGTTGCGTCCCTAGAACAGAGCTCCAGCAGAGGCAAGGCATTAACATGATTCCTGATATAAACACAAGATCTTGCATTATTACTGGGTGTAACAGAGGAAACTGTTCCCCCCATATTGTTTAAGCCCCTTATTTGACCCTTGTATAACCAAGGTTCCTGAATAAGTGCTATGTCTGCCTTGCCCTCAGCTAGCTCCTGGCACAGAGCTGCCATGGCAGCTTTACTGTGTTGCAGGTTGATCTGAAGAAATCTCATGATCTCTTCCAATTGAGGAGGTATAAATTTCCATCTTATGTCCCTCCTCTTTCTCGGACTGGGTTCCATGTGAAGAGGTCCCCTGATCCATTTTACTTCGGTCATCTGAGGCTGGGTACATCATCCCCTTCCTCCTCAGAGACTGAGTTAGAAGATGCAGTATCTGTTATGGGTTGTGCCCAGCGCCAAACTTCAGGATTGTCCAGCACCTTAGCAGTCCCCTGTGAGAGTCCTGTAAATATTTTATAACCGGTCCTCTGTAGAATAGTATAAGCCTTTGGCCTTTGGACTCAGATTGCTTGTCTAACACCCTCCAGTTCTCTGTATGGAGTCCTGGATTAAGATCTGCAGTCCTTTTCAGCAGCTCTTCCTGGTTTTGGGCAATTTTATCCCTAGTCTGGAGAGCTACTTTAACACGCTTGGGTAGGTTCCTGGCATCAGTAGCCTTCAGCCTGGTCCATGATTGAAGCCTGTGGTTGTCGATGGCTCTGATGAGCCACTGACCAGACTGTTGGTCGGCACATATATAGATAAGTGCACCTCCGAACAGTCTGTATGATTTTAGGTGTGGTAGTTCTACCTTTGGAGTCCTACGTAACACCTCGCCCAAAGCTTCCAGAATGGAATTTTGGTCGTATTCGATAAGCTTATCCTCAGGGTAAGTATCCTTGTAGATAGCTACCTTTATATTTGTCAGAGCCGCCTTGCAAGTCTCTGGGCTTCTTCAGAGTTCTGGCCGTTTCTGTACGGGTACTGCCCTCCGACCTTGGCCTCTTAAAGGTGCCAGTGGGGGTTTCTCCCTTCTTGGACGATCTTGCAGTTCCTGGTTGCTGCCCGCTCCCAGTTCCTGCTTTGCCTGTCCCAGCTTTTGCCCGTTGTAACTGCTGCTTAGCGGCACCCGACAGGTGTTTCTTTCCCAAATGGGGCCCACCTGTTCCAGAGGCTAGGTGTCCAAGTCTTTCCCCTTCTACAGGTTATTGGAAGTACCGGCTCCCTGCAGTGGTGTGCCAGTACTAACGACTCCCGAGAGATCAGTTTTTGGTTTTGCCTCTGGTAGGTTTTGAATCATTGATTCATCCCTGCCTTTAGCTGAGACTGCAACAGTAGGTTCGCCGGTTGCTTCTGAGCCCCTTAATGGTTCACCAGAGCTTCCAGCCCCCTGCTGAAGCATTTCTCGTAGGGATCCCCTTAAAGGAGGGTCCCTCTTCAGTTTAAGGTCCTTACGACCGGTTTTTTTGTTTGGTCCCTTTTTCATTTCGGTCCCACAAGTAATGGGGATTTAAAAGGTCACCACCCGCAGAGCCCCATATGGGTGGAAGGTATAAATACAACGGGGTGCTGCCTGGTGCCCCGAGGGAATCGTTCGTGACACTGGCCAATAACCACCCCAGTGCCATGCAGCCCTTGGCACGATGCCTCACACCTTGGCTTAGGCGGTTGGTCCTTCATAACCCTCACAATCCTCCAGGACCAAGAGTGCATTTTTTGGGGGAGGGGGATAACTGGGAGTGCGATACTAATTGTCATGAGGTTGCGACCAGGGCAACCTACACGAATTTACCGCCCCTGGAATTTGCTTCAAAGCTCCCCCATTCTCACCCCTCCACATGGGTTGGTCGAAACCATTTTAGAGTGTTGAGCCCTAAGGCTTGCGGCACCTTGTCGGTACTCTAGGGAGACAACTCTAATAGCCATAGCTACCCCCATAGGAGTGCTCTCCCGCATTCGTCCTGGGTACATCGTAATGAAACCCAAGAGTCATTATGACGCCACGTGGGAGGCTCTGGTCAAATGGCCATTGCCCTTTATGGAAACTCGGCCGCCAGCCCTGGACGTTCACACTATTGTAGACCCCCCAGGACTGTCGTTGCCCAGCAGGACCACAAGGAGGTGCTCCAAAGCTGTGTCTCAACGCATCCCTGGTCTATGATACATCCCCACCAAAGACACAGCCACCCTGCCACCATATAAATTACTTAGCATATCTTTGCTCTTAGAAATTAAGCATGAGCGCACAGTTTTAGGGTTTCTGTCATGTGAATTCCAAGAAATCTCAATTCTGACATACTGTTTCTGTATTATTAAAAACTATTTGTGGTCTTCACGGATGTCTCCGCCGTTTTGAATGAAATGACATGGCAGATGTCTTTTTAGTATTTATTACAGGGTTATTTTTTTGAAACCACGTTTCTAATTCTTTCATAACATTCGTTATTTTATATTGAATATATATATTCATCTTCTCCAGTAATTAACAAATTGGTATCGTCTGCATATAAAACCAGCTTTGCTCCTTGAACATTTTCTGTAAGATCATTACTGTATAGTAAAAATAAGCAATATCAATTCAGTTAAAAGGCTCTTTGCCTCCAATATTAAGTGTATAAATATTTTCACTATTTGCTTTCTTTTATTTATCATTCTCCAAGTCATTTTAACTTTATTCTTTGAGTTATTAATCTGCTTATCATGTGACATCATCTTGGCTTGATTTATCACTCTTGTTAATATTTTTGAGTAATTCTTATAATAAGGATTTAAAATTGGGTTATTGCCTTTCTTTCATCATACAATGCCCTCTTGTTTTTACAGGATATTTTTATACAAGTTGTTATCCACGATTTATGTTTATGTTTTAGTTCTGTAGTTATAGGAAATGACTCAAAATATCTCAAAAATATATTTAAAAGTTCATTAAAACTGGTTGAGATGATGGAAGCAGTGTAAATAAATAACATTGTCAGTTCAATTTACCAGTTTAATCACAGTAATAATTATAGAGAAAATCACAAAGAACTAAGCAGGGTAGTGTCCCTTTTTATCACAAGAAGGTTGAACACGCAAACTCTCAGGCGGCATCAGACTCTCACTGCGATCACCAATTCGCCACGCCCTTCTTTGAGGAAGACTGTCGGAACCAAAAAACAAAAGAATGGAAGGGAGCACCCTCTACACAATATGGAGATATAAGGCGCCAACATTCAAACTATAACAGAATTAATACAAAAGTGGTTTTGATTGTTATTAGTACTATAATACCCCACCTCAATCAAAATGTAGAACTTTGATGAACAATTTCTAAACATTTAAAAATTAGAAGAAATTATTCACAAAGTTTAAATCCAATAACAAATCAAAAACTTTACTGTGAAGCAAACATTTTTCCCCTGAGTGATTCAAGCTTAATTTGC